TTATTGCTGTTTTATTGTGAACCGCCCAGAGTCACTTTTTGTGAGATGGGCGGTATCTAAACTTGAAACATATATAAATAAATAAATAAATAATGATGTTGCTTGTATCTTTCAGGGCTAACTGATGGACCACTTGATATTTCAAACAACACTTCTCTGCGTAGCACTATGTTTCGGTCTGTTTCAGAATCAAGGTAGAGATGTGAATGCATATACAACTACTAAACTCCTGAGCCTTTTACAAGAATTGTAAAAGAAAGGCTATGCTCAAATTAAGCAATTTTGCAGCAAATGACAAAGCATTCCCAGTGCGAGACAACTTAGGGTTGTCACTCAGTTAAAGAAGTCATAGTTGATGCTATGACTAATTCAGAGATTGTTAATATATGATTATGCTGGGCGGATAAATTTTACAAGATTGGGATGGGGATGGGAGAAGAGAATCACATCCATCCTCAGGTCTAGGGTGGGTTAAATACTTCAGTGTTGGAGGTTCTGGGTGAGCGTTCCTGACAGCAGGGAGTCTGATGCAAATTGGGACCCTGGCTTTGGAGTAGCTTTCTATGCCGGGAGCACAGTTGGCTGCCAGGGAGTTACTGGGGAGGGGGGGGGGCTATTAATGTGCCACAGACCAGAGACAAGCAAGCTTAGGTTCTAACACAGCTAGATGAAGTAAAGCAGTTTTTGAAAAAGTCCTTTCACAATATCTCGGAGAATAGATTATAGTCATCCAGTAGACACTGTACAGATTAAGACCAGTAAACGATTGATTGGGTGACAGATCCAAAGGAAAAGCAAGAGACAAGGTGAAATTAAATCAAAAGTCCCAACACAGCAAAGCAAGGTGTTCACAGGCAAGGACTAAGTTTTAGAGAAGTTGTTCTCAACATTGTTCAGTGGGAGTGAACATAATACATAAGCCATGCTGGGCCTTCAAACAGTGCACAGCTGAGACTCATTAGACAGTAGCTGCAGAGTCTGTTCTCATGTTAGCACCCACATGCCTTTTGGTTAGCCTCTCAGATCTGTGAAGTTCAGCTCTCTGATTCTGGATTTTCTTTAAACACTTCTGCCTATGATTAAGTGTCTGAACCTCTGAGTCTAAGTTACTCTCAGGGTGCAGGCAAAAATCCTTGTGAACTTGCTTGGTCTGTCAAAGCCAGAGTGGGGTCATGGGTTCCATGTCAGCCCTGTAAGGTAGACCAGGCAAAGAAACAGACAACATGCAGGCATGAAGCTACTTTTATTAAAATGGAATCTTGCAAGTCTGAATGTGCTTTCTTTCCTCCCTCTCTTATCTTCATGAGAACTGGGGAGGGAGTGCTGTCTGAGGCATTTTTGCAAACCACTTTCTTGGCCTGGGCTCAAGTTTTGTTTATCTGATTGTTGCTTTGGTAGCAAGTCTTCCTTCTGTCCTTCAAGGCTACTTCACTCTTCACTCACTACACTCCAGTGCTACTGGGATCTTCAGTGACATCACTGTTGCCACTTGATGCTTCTGGCTCTACTTGCTCACCATCCTCCTCCTCTGAAGACACATCCCCTAGATTTTTTTCCCATTCAGAGTAGTAGTGTGGAAGCTAGATCTAGATCAGGTCTGAAGGAGAAGGCAATGGATTCAAGTTCCCCTACCCTAGATGAAGGTGCCATGTCCAAGACTGTTCCATCATCTGCAGGGCCCCTGTAACAGAACCTTCTCAATGATGGAACAGCTTCTCTCTTATGGAACAGCTTGCTCTCATACAGAATGTAAGAACTACCTCTTCCCCAATGAATTTCTGTGAAGAAGTAAAAAAGGTGGATCTGGGGGAAATTGTTTGGGAGATGATAAGAGTTGGTTTTTTCCCAAGTTGGTCCATGCCATTATAATGCACACTGTTAAGTCTTGTTTTCATTTTTTTTTCTGTTTATATCACTGTGCCATAGGGAGGGAGGGAGGGGGAGAGAGAGAAAGAGAAAGAAAGAAAGAAAGAAAGAAAGAAAGAAAGAAAGAAAGAAAGAAAGAAAGAAAGAAAGAAAGAAAGAAAGAAAGAAAGAAAGAAAGAAAGAAAGAAAGAAAGAAAGAAAGAAAGAAAGAAAGAAAGAAAGAAAGAAAGAAAGAAAGAAAGAAAGAAAGAAAGAAAGAAAGAAAGAAAGAAAGAAAGAAAGAAAGAAAGAAAGAAAGAAAGAAAGAAAGAAAGAAAGAAAGAAAGAAAGAAAGAAAGAAAGAAAGAAAGAAAGAAAGAAAGAAAGAAAGAAAGAAAGAAAGAAAGAAAGAAAGAAAGAAAGAAAGAATCTCAAACTGAATCAGACTCATGGACCCCACCTCCAGATTGTTGGCTCTTAATTAAAGAGCATATTGGTTAAACTTAACATGTAAAATGAGCCTTCAGATTATAAGGAAGATACTATGCAAAAGCAAATGGGATTATTTCTGTATAAACATTACAACATGTAACTACTTCATAAACTCATATGTCTTAGATTAGTGTTTCTCAGCCTCAGCAATTTTGAGATGTGTAGACTTCAATTCCCAGAATACCTTAGCCAGCTATGCTGGGGAATTCTTGGAGCTAAAGTCCATACATCTTAAAGTTGATGGGATTGAGAAACACTCTTAGATTACTCATTATTGTTCTGCTATTCTATTCTACAGTATTCATTCTTTTTTCCTTCAGGCAACCAGGTGTTTGAACCAACAAACCTTAGAATTCACCAAAATAATTCTGTTCAGCAGCTGTTACTGGAATGGGATGTTAGTGATTACTCCGAAGCATTTAATTCCGAAATAGAAATTTTATTTAACATTCAAATCCGTTTAAGAGAAGAAGATAGGATTATTTTGAATGTAAGTATAATTCTGAAAACAGGACTCGTGAATTTATATCATCTTCCTCTTGAATCCAAGTCTTTTGGTGGAAATAAATTTTCAAACTTAAGTTAAATCCAAACCAGATGCATAGATGTCAGAGGTGGGGATTATCCGCCTACTCCTTAAGAAGCTTTAACTTTCTTTTTTCTTTTTAAAGAGCAAATTCTAGAAGCTGAAACATGAGGCAAAATAGGGAATTGCTATTCTGCCCATAAGCAGCATTACATGTAGTCCTCATTTAGCGATTGCCTCATTTAGCAACCCTTTGCAGTTATGACAGAGATGAAAAACTAACTTTGCGACCAATCCTTACGTTTACGACCTTCGCCAGTCTGTAAAGCAAAGGAAAGCTGAAGTAAGATCATAAGCACAGTTGTGGTTTAGTGACTGCTTCACTTAATGACCAAGTTGCCAATCCCAATTGTGGTTGCTAAACAAGGATTATCTGTAGCAATATTCTACTTGGAGAATAACGCCCTGATTAATTTTTCACAGAATGCCATACCACGTGTTTTTTTTTTAAAAATAACTCTCCTACAGGGAAGCTATTGTTACCTCCTTAAAAACCATTTGGAATTCCAGACTTTTGATGTAGGTGTGATTGAAGAGGTAGGAACAAGTTTTTTTTTTTCTTTTTCAGAATAGTGGGGTTTTAAAGGTTGGAAAACGATTGTGCCATTCTGTGCAAAATAAAGTCCACCGTTGTTACATTGATGTGGCAAGAAATGAGATAGTATCAAGAGTCTGTGAATTATGTTAGCTTTGCAAGATAGTGCAGTCTTGTTATACTTAACTTTATGAAAGAGGAAGCAGAGTGGTGTATGACAGTTGACTTATATAGTCTTCTAATACTTTTAAGGGAAATGTCTTGGGAGCGGGAAGAAGTTGCAGCTGATTATCAAGCAGTGCAAATAATTGAGGGCCGGATAGTTTTGTGAAGTATAAATATACATTGTCAAACAAAGCTGCATGTGAGGCATTATTGCAATAGCCAAAACCTAGTTTTAGCTGAAAGTTATATTTCAAGCAGTAACACTGCCAAAGAAGGAATTCGAGGAATTGCTGTGCTTCGTATTTTGTAGTTAGCATCCTAACTGAAATGGTTCTGAATTTCCACTTTATTTATTTATTTACCAGATTTATCTGCCACCCAAGCCAAAGTCAATGGCCATTCCAGTCCATAAAATGTTACATCAGAAATCCAAGATTATAGTCATAAAATCCATGACAACTGAAAGTATCATAAAAAAGATAGCAGACTCTTACACCTCAAATGCTCAGTGAATGAACAGTGTCTTAACTGAATTCTGAAAACCACAGGAAGGAAGATGTCCTGATCAGGGGGTTAGCTCTTCTTTAAGGCTGGAGCAGTCACACTGAGAGCTTATTTTGGATATCACCTCCTAAGCTCTAGCAGGGTTCTTCAAGATATCTTGTCCTCTCACAGGTACAGGCTAGGCTGGCTCTGCTTGGGGAAGATAGTCTAGCAAGTAACCAGACTTTGCCTTACAGAAACAGTGAAATCAAAAGACCCACAGTCTACTGCCTCATTGGTTTGAGTTCCTTTTTTAATTTGCTTTTCTTATGATGCACTTTTAGGTGAATTATATGACAGTTCTCAATAAATCAAGACAGCATCACCAACGGAGGTTGTTCTCTGATGTACCCTTAGAGTGTGCAACTCATGAAACCAGAATAAGGAGCAAAGTGATGTCTTCTAAAATTTGGAGTAACTGGAGTTATTGGGTAGCAGCAAATGGTAAGGTCCTATTACCAGTGGAAAGCATGATGTACTGCATTGGGTGGCTTCTCCAACCTATCATTTTCCAGATTTGTTGAACTTCTGTTCCTAGAATAATAACTCCTTGTTTTCTTTCTTCTTCACAATTCCCTAACAAATAATTCCTTACCTTATTATTAGGACAGGGACTTAGTCTGTGTAGGTTGACAGTGAGCAACCTGAGGCTCAAGGCTGGTTATGCCCCTCTTCCCCCCGCTAAAGCTTCAGCCTCTGAAGGCTGGAAATGCCCCTTGAGAACACAAAGCATTTTAATAAACTGGAGCAGTCCTTGAAGTATTGCAAAAGTTGTTTTCTCCTTGGAGGTTTTCTGCCAGTAGTCTATGCTTAAGTGTAAGTTAGATGAATAGTTACCCTCACTTAACTGATTTAATAAGTCAGCTACTTTGGGTGTAGGGTAATTGTCAAATTTGGTATCCTGGTTGAGATGTCTGAGGTCTATACAAAATCTTATCCCTCTGTTGGGATTAGGGACCAAAACTTTAAGTGAGGACCACTCACAGCATTAATGCTCAATAACATCTAACCATGACATGTTTCCTTTTCCAGTGTGTCTTCTGGAATGTGATGTTCTGCTTTAATGGTTTTGCAATAAAATCAACTGTGTGATCTATTAGTGTAGTAGTAATTGGTTTGTTAGTTACACATATCTTTGGATTCTTTTTAAATTGTTTCTGGATGTTTGTGTTGAAGAGACAAGTTTCTGTGTGCTCTCTGTGTGTGGCTCACAGAGAAATATGCACCTGCTCAGCCAAATCTTCTTCTCCCAATCCATTTTCATAGTAGGTTTACATGATGCTTTTTACAACCTGTCCATCCCTGCCCAAAGTCCCTTTTGTAGTGGGCAGTTCCCATCTTCTGAAGCACAGTAGATGGGCTGCTCACCTAGCATACAGTTTGCATTCCTGACTAGGCCACAGTAGTAATGCTTTGGGTCATCCTGTGCATATGTCTTTAACGTGTTTTTCAGGGTCTCCTTTTGTCTTTCCATTGGCCCATCTAGCTGGAGAAGGTATGGACTGGTTCTGATCCTAGACGTGCCCAAGTCTGCGTATAATTGCTTCAGTAGTGCAGACTGGCAGTCTGGGTCTTGGTGCAGATCTTGTACGAGGACAGCCTGTCTGCAGTAGCAAAAAATTAGAAGGAATCTGGTAGCACCTCTTCTGAGTAACAAATTATATTAAAGGGCATAAAGCTTTTGTGAACTGTAGCTCACTTGAGCAAATAGCAGACAGCCCTTAGCTGCTGCATGCTGTCACACTTATGAATAATGCTGTGTATACTTCAATAATGATTTGGAAGAGATGTTTGGGGATGTGTGCCTTTTTCAGGCTCCAGCATGAATATGGAAAAAAAAGAGAGATGCAGTTGCTAGAATGAGTTGCATTGAAGATGCAGCTGCCCTAAAGAGATACTAGGTTTGTTTTCCCACACATTCCAAAGCATTTCTTCAGAATATTTTTCATAGCATGCACAGTCCTGCTTATTCACTGTATTTAATTACCTGAATTTAATACAATGAATTACAGTATAATTACATGTATTTATGTTTACATTATATTAACTGTACATGCGTATTGTGGAATGTGGCCCCTGGCATGATGACCCTAGGTTGAGTGCCACCCTAGGTCTTGCAAACAGCGGGAGCATCTTTTGAAACTGGTGTGAGTTTTCTAGAACTTTCCATGAAGAGGTACTGAATGCATGTGCTAGCACATGTATGTAGGATTAATAAAGTCTGAGGGCTGGAAGGGGCCAATTGGGTTATTGGTTTCCACCTCTACTCAATGCAGACATCTGAATTAAACATGAAAGGTCCAAGTGACACTCACTATAGTACCTCCATACATCTTTGGTTGTGCTACCAAAGTGTCCTTACTGTTAGGCATTTTTTCCTAGCGTTCAACCAGAATCTGCCTACCTGCATCCTGAATACTGAGACAAATAGAAATCAAGTCTAGTTTGTGTTCTGCCTGAAAAGGAATGTGGGGCTGGTCAGAACTCCCCTCTCATGGAGAACTCCTGGTTGTAAGTCAGTGTATATGCTCAGCAGCTTTGTATAGTTATTGTATGTGCAGTTCAGTTGGCCCCCATGCATGTTTCTACGATAACCTAGAGGTAACAGCATTTGTTAAAAGACTGCACAAGAGCCTCTCCCAGCCCCCTGCCCAGTATAAAAGGCTTAAAAAGTAGCATGGCATAGCTAAGTCTGCAGTTTGAATCTTATTTGTGCCCTGAACTCACTCAGCCATGAACAGCCCATCCACCTCTCAACTCAATCTTCCAGTTTGTCATATGGAGAAAAAATAATGGCAACTTCTTGTATAGCAGGCTTACCTAAACTGGTGTCCGCCAGATGTGCTGGGACCACAGCTGCCAGAATTCCAAGCAAAGATTATGGCACTTTGCTCAAATAGAGATCTTTCATTTTTCTGATGTGACCGAGATCTGAAGAACTCTGTACAATAAAATAATTAAATGAAGAAAATTAAATCTTTTTTCTCTGTTGCTTTGTGCAGGCCCGGATGCTCTCAGTGGTAACAGAATTTACATCTTCCCTGAATACAAAGTAGCTGAACGAGGTTCCAACGTCACATTTTGCTGCATTGCAAAGAAAAATAAAACTGTAACTAGTTTTTCAGTTTACAACCGAACTGAGCATCCGACACCAAAGCAGCGAGTAATATTTACTAGTAATGCTACATTTTCACTCCCCAGTCGCATTCAAGTCGCTTGTGGTTTTTCTGAGAATCATCATAACAATTCAACTTATCTCTACCTCACAAGTAAGCAGAAAATCTTTAATGTTATTGCTTGTCACTGTGGGCAACCAGTGATCAGAGATTATGGGAGTTGTGATCTAGTAACATTAGGAAGATCCCAAGTTGCTCACCTCTGCTGTAGAGAACAGGATTATTTTAACTAGAACAGCTTTTAATTTTAATCTTAAAAGCTGTGTTCATTATTATGCTGCTTTCCTGGAATACTGAAAGATTTCATGCCCTAAAGTGTGGGTGGACCAAGGGCCATGCATAGCTCTGGGACACACAAAAACCTGAGACCTTTGCCCGATTTTCTTACTTGCCAAAAGGAAGTGGATCACTAACTTTCTGCTGCTGTTGTTGGCAGCAAATGTAATCTAGTTGTTTCCAGTCACTTGATGATCTGATGATCCAGATTACTAGTTCCCTGCTACCAATAACAGGTTGGAAGAAAGGTGAAGTTGCATAAAAATATTGTGTGTGCATGGAAGTTTGCTACTGGGTGTGAATAGGTGATTGGATACCGATGTGTAGCTCCCAGTCCAGCTACTTCTGTGGTTCTTGGAGCCAAGGGCTACCTGCCTGTATTCTAAGGGCCCTTTTTTCTCTCATTTCAACTGGCCCACAAAAAGCTGAGAGGGCCCATCTCCCAAGATAAAGGCAGAATCAGCCCCAGGCAAAGAGACTGCCTCTTCCAAGTCCATACAGAGGAACACATGGGGCTGGCAAATGAATAGTCTTCCCTTGTTGTGGATGGCATAGGAGGCTAGTTTAGGAAGGGCTGGGAGGATCACAGTCCATGTGTCCTTTCCTTCATCTCTTTCCTACAGCATCTGTCGCAAGAAGTGATAGCTTCAGTTTGTCCAAAGTGCTGGTCTCCAAACAGAAGCCATAATGGGGCATCTGCCTACTTTTAAATTTAGGAAATCAATACCACGACATTGCAAACTGTCATTTTTTTACATACAAAACCATGGCAGCTGTCCTGTTTAAATACTAATTTCCTAGTGCTCCTCTTGCTTTTATGTAGCCTCCTTCCTTGAGTTGGGCATGACATCTCATAACTATATTCATGCAATTTGCTTGGCAACATTAGAGACGTGGATTGTCACTGCTGCCTTCTGAGAAGTTTTTTCTACTTCTCAATCTAGTCCACTATCCTAGGATTTTCAGGTGATCCCCCATCCAATACTAATCAGGGCCAAACCCATTAAGTTTTGTGGGGGGTCAACCATGATTGTCTAGATGCTGCTAGCTACAAATGACCTTTCTTCTTGCTCTCCACAAATTAATCATAATTCTCTCGCCTTCTCAATGAGAAAAAGATTGCAAAGGCCAAGGAAGACGGGAACATATAACCAAAAGTTTTCTTATGCTATGAACCCACTTGGATCATTGAAGAGAATCTTGGACATATGTAGCATTGGTTATAAGATATGAGCATGTGACTTATAATGAGTGAATATAATAGAATGTGAGCAGGGAGATTCAAGTTCTAGCCCACTCTCAGAACCTCAGAGGGTTACTTTGTACCAATCACTTTCTCTCAGGCCAACTAACTTCCCAAGTTCTGGGTAAAAACAAGATGAAGAAGCACTGTGTATGCTGCTCTGAATTACTGAATGAAAAGGCAGAATATAAATTTAATAAAAATAAATGAAATGCTTGGGTGAGCCAATTTCTCTTTCAGAATAAAGCAGGGGCAGGCAAGCTACCGAGCTCTATAATCTTTATCTGCTAATGGTCATTGGAAACATCCTTGAATAAAGATGGCAGGACATCCAAAGATGGGGTAGGGTTGAATATCTATCCCCAACCCTTGTATCGATTATCTTTCTGCTGGTGGTGGGGGTGGGGGAATATAGGTGATCAACTTAACTTGTTTTGAAAGTAGTTGTACAGATGAAATATAAGAAGGTAACATTTTAATCCGAACTTGTTTTAATAGGGCAGCCTGATAAACCCCGAAATCTAAGCTGTGAAACTGAAGACATGATTAATATTACATGTACTTGGGATCCTGGAAAGGTAGAGTCGAACAATAATGTTAAGTCCGTGTGTCCAACAAAGTTTATTTTGTCTGATACGTAAGTATTTCTCAAAACAGTCTTGAAGTCAACCCAAAGCATAATATGAAGGAGCTTGGAGTAGTTGTACCAGATTTATGGGATATCTTTGAAAGGAATATTTGGAGATAATGAAAACATTGATGCCAGAGACAGAATTTGTCCTGGATAAAAGAGAATGCTTTTATGATAAGTTAGTTGTTTGCATATTGGACTTGAATGGAGGAAACCCTTGACATTTTGCTCAAGGCTCTTGCATGTCTATAGTAAAATAGATATATTGCCGTTTATAGTGGCTTGGGGCAGAGAAAATATTATGTATTTGCAAATCAGGAATACCACCAGTTGCAAACTGGGAAATATACATTTCTTACCCTCCTTACTTTTAACATGAATTCCTCATTTTTTTAAAAAATCGTAGTTTAGTTTTATATCTGCTGTGATGCTAACCATTACTCAAAACAGATTCTCCCTACAGTATTGTGTTAATCAGCATTCAAAAGCAGGCTTGAATGACAAAACTCTAATTAGGGGAGAATCTGATTAGCGTAGGGGACTGTGGAATCAGAAATTGTAGTCAAGGATGATAAATCTTGAACTTGTAGGTAAGGTTCAAATGTCTCTAATATACTATTTTTGACTGCAAATAGAATAAATATTGCCTTTTCTCCCCCATGCTATTTCTTGAAAGCTCTTCTACAAAAACATATTGCAGTTGCGTTACAAATTGTAAAAATAGCTGTTCATTCAAGATGGGCCACCAATCCATATATGATGTAAACTTGATTTCCAAAAATTGCCTTGGACAGAAACATGAGCATCTTAGTTTTGATGTAAACTTCAGAGGTAAGAGTTGATTTTCTTTATTCATTTTAATATTCCACTCTATTGTCACAATCTAAAAGTATTAAATGCATTTGCGTACTGCGACTGGATTAAAATGTCAAACAAAACTTAATATAATAGTTGGTTCTTGCTAATAGAATTGGCTGTTCCCACAAATGAAGTTCCAGACAGGTTGAAATTGCAACAATCAGCTCTTCTTCTCCTGTCCTATTTCCTCAGTGATAAATGAAGACTGACCATCTCTCTGCCATTGAGAAAGATAGAACAAATGAGAACCTGGTAGAGAAACATGTCATCTAGCCCATTCTCCTGATGACCTCTGTGTTAAGTCTGTTAGTTGTATGTGCAACATACCTCAGTGTTTTCCAGAAAGCGGAGTGAGGGTCAAAACAGGCAGGCATGGTGTTGTGATGCAAGCCCTGCCCCTTTTTTACACGCAACATGTACAGACGGGGTGGGGCTTGCATTGTGCGGTATGCAGTGTCTTGTCTGTTTTGACCCTGGCCCCTACAGATGCCACTGGATGATTTAAGCAATTAGGTCATTAGAGTTTCTAGTTTGTTGGGGTGCTCCTGTTGCTTTTCTTTCCCAGATTTACTTTAGGCTGCTGTTGATCCAGCTTTTGGGATTCCTTTATCCTGTTATAATTACAGCAAAAGTAGGATTTGTTCCTGTTGCCTTTCACTCTTCATGATGATTTGTCACATGGAAGGGTCAAGTCACAAAAATTACAATATAGAATGGCAGGTTGGATTTGTTTGACTGAGATTTGACCCATGCCCCTGAGCTCCAGCATGCTAGGGAAACTATGATTGCCTTCCTTATTTCTTCAGGAGGAGGAGGAGACCTTTTTTGTGTCCTCCTTTTCCTGTGTCTCTGGGAAATGCAGACATTGTGTGGGGAAATTGGGCACCCTTCTCTGATGGGAATGAAAGGGAAGAGAAAACAACTCTGGAGCAAAAGCAAAATAAGCTGAAGTGGAAAAAGTAGAAAAAGACAACGCCTGGTATATAGTTGCCATAATTTTTATGCCTGAAGATCTTTTTGAGTGCCATCACTGAGAAGGGAAGTCCAGGGATGATAAAACTATTTCAGAGGGGTTTTTTTTGCTGCTTTTACGGCCCAAGGTATTGATTTACTTTTTTTCAGAATCCTCATGTTCCTTCATTCTTCTTCTGTTTTCAACCAGTTCATCCTGTGGTTCCCAGTAATCTATCAGTGGATGATCAAAATGATACTTTCATCCAGTTATCTTGGCGTGTAAAGCCAATAAGGGGAAACCCACTGTTGTTATGCCAGATCAATGCCGCATATGCTGGTGGGAATAAGCAGGTGAGAAGCATCCATATCTAAATAAGGTAACAAAAACTCTCTCCCCTCTTCATCAGGTTTAGTCCAAACCAAGTACATTGTTGAATATTGAGCTACCCAGGAGATCAACCATAACCCATAATTCCAGCATAACCTTCCTTCTGAATCAGCAATATCTGCAGCTCAATAACCTGAGATCCATCCAGATTGAAACAAAAAGCTCATTGTTCTCAAGAAGGACATTTAGTTGTTTACGTGTATTTTGATGTACCCACCAGTTCCAATAAATTTTAAGTGCCTAAAAACCTGCAATAATAGGGTTGACAATAGTTCTAACTGTTTTTACTGTAAAGCAGAAAAATAAACAATTTCATAGCTAGGAAGGATGAGGTTCAGTTCAAAGATTAATGAGGAGTCTACAGTCACATTTCAGGGCCTAGAATCACAGTTAAAAGGAAATCAAATATTTTGTTTTATGGAAATAATATGATGTGTTTGTGTGTTTGCCTTGCTCAGAAGAAAATTAAAGGTCTTTTTAAACTGGAGTAGGGCAATGCAAGTGAAAGTGGATCTCATCCAAAGGAAAATAAAATGTCTTCCCATACTGGAACCATATAATAACAATAAAATGTGTCCTTGTGGTTGCTAAAAGAGGTGGTTGCTTACAAGTGTCTTAATTAATTCAAGAACTTTCTAGCTATCTATGTGACACTTGTCATGCAGTTGCCAAACAGACAAAACTCTAACCATGAGGCAAACTACAACCCCATCTCAATCATGGCACGATCATCCTGCCATGAACAGTTAAATGCATTAGGCTTTATGAAACTACCAAGTAGTGGGTTATATCCAGTGGTGTCCTCTTAGTGACCCAGAAATTGCTGGTGGATTGAATGTTACCTTGTCTGCAGGTCCCCCAAATCTATTCCAAAGAATGAGAGGAATCCTTTGGACAAATATTGGGATCCTTTCAGGGAAATAGGGTCTTGGAGAGAAATGGGAAGAGCACTAATTTTACTCATGATGGTTAAAACAGCAATTGCTGTTCCTAGAGACCATTGGTTGGCATTTCTCATTTTTTCTTCTACCACTTCCTTTCTGCAATGCAATCCCAGCCTCTAGTCCTGCACTAAGGGGAATCCTACTGGGGAAATGGTAGCCATCAGGGGAAAACAGATGGGAGCTGCATTTGAGTCCAACTCTCTTCCACCTTAGAAAAGGAACTGAGACTTCTTTCTCCAACCAGGCTTGCATTGTTTTATGAAGATGGTAATACTCATTTTTATATTTTAATTATGTCTTATGGTTTTCCATCTTTTTGTGAGTTTGATTGGAAAGGTGGATAGGAATCAAAAAAGTAATTAAAATAATTAAAATGGTAACCTTTCCTTCAAATCGAATTCAACTCTTGGTGGCTTCATGGATATGTCTGTGTAGGTTTCTTGGAAGCAGTATAGATATAGTTTGCCATTGCTGCCTTCCAAGATTGTTGTTATTGTTTAACTTTTCCAGTCCAGCCTATAGATCTGGATTTTCTGGTGGACTCCAGTCCAAGTACTAACCAGGTCTGACCCTGATTAGCTTTTTTGGGATCAAAGTTGGTTAGATACTGCCATCTGCTGTAGGTATGAAATGTGCAGTTATATTTCAGAAAAAATATTTATCCAGGGAAAGACAGTACTTGGCCTCTTAACAGATTTACTCTTTATGTTTTGCAGTACAATATCACAGTGCAGTCCAGTCCAGACTTCCATCCCCACATAAAACTGGGTGATTTGCAGCCTTACACAAGCTATACATTAAAAATACGCTGTGCTACAGCTGTCAGTCCCTTCTGGAAGTGGAGTGAATGGAGCCAGAATATACATGCCAAGACTCTTGAATCTGGTGAGCATTCTGTTGTGGAAAAGAAGTTTAAGGGAAATGGAGCCTAGAATTCTGTAATCTTCCTTATCTGGTGCCATCCAAGTACTTGGGCTACAATTTCCATTATCTCCTGTTAGCATAGCTAAGAGATGAAAGAGTGCAGGCCAATGCATTTGGTGAGCACTAAGTTTAAATATTGAGGAAGGCATAGATAATCAGGAAATAATTTAATCAAAACCATTTTTCTTCTGTATTCAGAAGAAAAGTAAGTTTATCCTTGTTAGAATGCTGTATATCCACTCAATTAAATTCAGACATGTAATCTTGCAAAATATTACAAATCTGAGTGGTGGAGTGTTATGATCTTTAAAAAAGGTCTAATATTTCATTCAAGTCACTTTCAACTATTATATGGTAAGCAGGTGAAAATAATCATGTGTTTGTTCTGGAGAATCTCAAGCTGGACTACATAAATTCAGGAATTCTAGACACTGGCCACCCAATCTAGCATACATTAAAAAGCATCCTTCTGCATCTAATATTACTTCTTCAACCATCAGCTTATAAAATCTGTGTGTTAAAAACAAAGATGCCTTGCACATTTAAAATTACTACTGACATCAACCTTCCTGATGAGCAACGGTCAGATTTTATGCAAGGTATTTCTGCAACTCCTATACACAAATGAATAACCTAATCAGGTGATTATTATTGTTGATATTACACAAGCCTGTGGGAAGGGATAGTAGAAGGAATTTATCCTGATTAACCTTTTAAAATATATGAATCTTTCATAAAGGGCCTTTTAGAGAAGAATTAAGCACAATGCATGTAAAATGGGGTGGAGTTTCAGTCACATAGTCATGACTGCATTCTTGATCACCTCCTCCCATGGACACTCCCGGGATCTACTGTAATGAATAACAAAGAGGTGTTGTGCTTACCTGAGGTCCAAAGCAGTTCTTCCACACCATTTTCAAAATGTCCATAATGCTCATAGAGATTAACAAACAAATGTATACTTGAGAACCAGAGATAAAGAACTTCAACAGCCCTGGATACAAGTCAGTATAATACAGAACAGGACTTAGACTTCTACCTTCAACAGGGGTTGAAAGATGTAGGATACTACTTGCAATTGGGTATGAAATCATTTCTGTGTGCCATTTGATCATTTCAAAACAAAAATGACAAAATTGATTAAATGTTTAAGATTCTTTTCTCGGCCAATATTTTTGGACATTCTGAACATTTTTCTCTGTTGTTGAATTTACTTTGTGTAATCTGGGGAAAATAAAAAGACATTATATGTCCCTGTTCAATTATTTTAGCAGATCACGTTTTCTGTAAAATTTCATTCCTCCTGGCAAATCTAAAGAACCTTTCAGTCAGTGAATGGCTCAAACAAATCAGATGTATGAAAAGGAAAAATTGCAATTATATGAGCTCTCTCAATATTCACTACAGTATTGAAAATAGAGATGCCAATATCATAATGCTCTTTTATAAATCCATGGTGCAACTGCATCTGGAATATCGTGTGCAGTTCTGGTTGCCATACCTCAGAAAGGATATAGTGGAACTAGAGAAGATTCAGAGGAGGTGAACTAAGATGATCAAGGGGCTGGTGCAGATTCCCTATGAAGAAAGGTGGTGACATTTAGAGCTTTTTAGACTGGAAAAGAGGTGAATGAGAAGGGACATGACTGAGGTGTACAGAATTATGCATGGTGCATGGTTAAAGTGGACAAAGAAACTATTCTCCCCTTCCCAACATACTAGAACCAGAGGTAACCCAATGAAACTGAATCCTGGAAGAATCAGTGCAGACAAAAGGAAATATTTTTGTACACAATGCATAATCAAACTTAGCAGTTTTCCACCACAAGATGTGGTGCTGGCTACCAGCTTGGCTGGCTTCAAAAAGGGGTCGGAACAATCTATGGAAGTCATGGGGATCAATGGTCACTGGCCTCCTGGCAGCATGACTGCTTCTGAAGGCCATCTGCTGAAAGACTGGTGGGCTTTCTTGTGCAGCTGATTGGTCATTGTGAGAACAGATTGCTGGAATAGATGGGCCAGAGGCCTGATCCACCAGGGCACTGCTTATGTTATTAAGTTCTTAACCTAATTATCTCCAGAAAAGCCAGGGTTTTCTGTATTAGAGCTGCCATAAGAGCTACCCAGCTAACCTTTCTCAACTTCTTCTGGAAATTCAATCACATTTAAATTGGCCTGGCAAGAGTGAATTGAGAGGGATTTTGGTTTGTCCTGAAGAATCTTAAGAGCTTTTAGTAAATCAATTATTGGTGTATCTAGTGACTTCCCACAAATTTCTAGCTGAGATACTTAGATAACATCTCATGCTTGTCTCATCGGAGACTCTTCTCCTTGACCAGATGTAGTACTCTGCCTTCCATGTTAATGAAAGGGAGATAATACTGCAGTGCAAGAATACATAAGTCACCATCTGGTGGGGACAATAGCAACAAAGGTATCACCGTGCTGTCCATTTTACACAGCCTGATGTCTAGACTTCATTATGTCTCTTTTACTTGCTCATTTGTCTCCTGTAATCTCCAGAAGGGTTGCACAGTTTGCTCTACAGTCATTGCTATTCAGTTTTTAAAATTTTCTTTTAATATAACCTTTTTATGGTTAATCCTAAATCCATTAGGATTAGGTTGAGGATGGTTGTGTTTAATCTATTGCTTGAGAATTTGATCTCTCTCTCTCTCTCTCTCTCTCTGATGTGAATAGATAGCTGATCCTTGATTATAAATAAAACTTACTTTCTTACTTGCAAATGAGAGATTCTGTTCTTAGCTGCACCCAGTCTGATACCTACAGCATTAATAGTGTCTTTGAGCATTTATATCCTTTCTCATCTCAAGGATAGCCATCACCATTTCCTCAAAGGCAATTAAAGTAGCAAATAAATGGTTATCAGGATGAAAATATTGTAAGCACGGTCAAAAAATGCTGGTGTCCATCTTAAGGCGTCTGTCTGTGGCTTGTGAAGGTGTTCCAGATCCTACTAATGCAGCAGCGTACTTGTTTATTATTTATACCCTTTCTGTTTGATCATCAAGGCGGCTTACAACAGCATGTGCTATATGCTTTGATTTTCAGCTCCATCAGGATTGCTTGATATCTGGAGAGTTATTAACCCAGGCTTGGAGCAGCGTAATGTAACTGTATTCTGGAGGGTAAGTCTGGCCACACGTATAAACTTGATAGGACGTATAGAGACATACATACATACATACATACCCATCGCACTATTTCTTTTTGAGGTGAGCAGCATTGTGCTAAGTGCAGAAAGAAAATAAGAGTGGTAAGCACAAGAAATTGAAGGCAACCAATAAGATAAAAGACTCAAAAAAAAGGACAATAGATGGTCTGTGAATATTGACTTCCACCACCCATCTTGGATTTGATCATTGAGGGCTTTCATGTGATGCTTTTCAGAAAGATAAAGAGTGGATCAGCCTTGGTTACAGGCTGATTCCCTAGCAATGGTAAAGACACTCCCGGTCACAGAAGAGTAGATACTTTATCCATATGTTTGCATTTTTTGACAAAAATAAATATAAGGCAGCAATAATATTTGTAAAATACAATTATGTGGGATGTTATAATAAACAGCACAACAGACTGCACACTGTTTAATTATTTTTCTTTGGTTGTGAAGTTTTGCTTCTTTTTTTTTCAATTACCATGCAGTACATTCTGCAAAACTGAAGTGCAGCATTTTCATTGTTAACTGATTGATCCCTCAGCATTAAGGGCAATGGGGGTGTTATGTCTTTACTTTCCTATTGAAAGAATATATGCACAAATGAGAAGACAGTCTCCTCTGTCATGAAAGTGTTCACCAGAACCCTGTATAATTCACCTACTTACTTGACTGACACCCCCCCCCCAACAATAAATACACTAAATAAATTAGGGTCAGTTTGGGTTGCAGGAAAGAATAACATGAAATTCTGTTCCCTTCATGGACCCAAGTCTTGAATACAAGGATCTTTATTTTCTATAAGCTATTGTAGAAGAGATATAGCTTTATGTTGTATGTTCTTGATTTGACATCATCAGTTGCCGCAAAGTAAACAAACTGGTAACATCTGTAGTGAGAAACAATTTACTTCTTTGATCAGAGAAAAGACAATATCTGTGCTTATTGCTGACTGGAAAGCCCTTATGGACTTTTGGGGTGAAACAGAGAAAAATGAACTTATGATTTATGGTTTTGATGATTAGACAGGATAGATTATAAAAAGAAGAGAGTTACATTGTAACCATAGAGTAAGAGGTAAATTTATAATTGTACTTATAACTGCTGTAAAGATATGAATCTACTTCTTTGTATTTTTTTCTTTTTCTATTTTTTCTTTTACTTTTTTTTACCTTTCTTGCACTTTTAGCTTTCTCTTTGATCCTTTCTTTTTCTTATTTTATATTAGTTTGTATTAGTTTTTATCATCTTTTTTAAAAAAAATCTTTAATTAAAAACACGGAATGAGAAATAAATTGAAACCATTCTAGAAAGGCACATGGATGAGAAATGTATTTTGAGAGAATTTTGGTTTTCTGCCCATAGGAATTGCCAGGATTTCGTGCTAACGGAAACATTAAAACATATGATCTATTTTGGGAAAACTTAGAGGACCCTTCAGTGCAGCATCACAATTACTCTGTTTCTGCGCCACAGAACTACACAACAATTTCTCTTGGCAGCCATTCTTACAAAATCCTTGTCTTGGCAAGCAACACTATGTTTGCATCCTCTCCCTCTGGGATTATCATCCCAGCAACTTACGAGAATGGTTTGTTCATTTAGACATGTTACTCCAATGAATCCTTCTTTCCTGAATCCCAGGAAGTAATGTGAAATATTACAACCCCAGACATTGCTAATTTCCATGATTATTTAGCAATACTCTGTTCCTGTTGCATTATGATCTTTGGTTTGACTGAATGTTTGGGATTTCAGCCTTTCAACAGAAGAGAATATTGTAGCTCAGGGTTGAACTGTGGAGTCCTTGGTGCTCTCTGAGCTTGGTTGTTTGCTTGCAGACATTTCATTACCCAGCTAGGTAACATCATCAGTGCTGGTGAGTGTGAGGTTACGGGGAGCAAACCCCACACTCACCAGCACTGG